AAAAAAAAAAAAAAAAAAAAATTGTATCAACTCTGTTTTCTTCCTGCAGTCACTTTGAATTGCTGTCAAAGTATTGTGTGGCAGGATTCTACATAAACTCATATGCTTCTTAATCGGTGTTTTGGTTTCATAATTTCTTCCCCTCTCCCATGCATTGCTTACTGATCCTTTGTTTCATGAAGGTGTTTAACTCCCAAGTGCTCTCATTCTCTGGGAAGAATGTTTCGGCACTGACATGTTGGCAGTCAGCTCTGCCTGCTCATTTAGGAGTTTGCTTTCACCGCTGTCTTCTGGAGCGCTGTCTGAGCTTGCACTGCGTTGTCAGCTAACGCCGTTCTCTTGTTTCCTTCCTTTTGCAACTTGTCGAGAAAGCTGTCACATTTTCCTTACAGGAACAGTGTCTGGGCCCTGTATCCAGATGATAGCTTAATTTATTGAATGCTCTTTCTCATGTCTTATCAAGCTGGGCAAATTCAAAGTCTTGTTCATTGCATCTACATTTTGTGCCAAAAATGAGTTGTGAAACCGCAACATCAGCTCTTGAATTTTAATAATACTGAATGCAGCATCATCTCTTCCCATACTGCTACTTCCAGAATTTGGCCATTTATGTGTAATGTTTTGGAGCGGGGAGGGAACGAAAGGTGTGTGGGAATAGGATGATGGTACAAAAGAGTAACAGACCATATTACGGTGTCCGGCCCCAGGACACAGTCTGCACTTGTGGACGTGCTGCCCCACCTCGCCTAAGAGGACGTGCCCCACAGCTTGGGAGGCGCTGGGCAGGCCAAGGTCTCGAATCCCAAACCGTGCTTATTCATCTTGTTACATGTGAGGGTGGGATTTTCGTACACTGAACGCGGTTGTCTACAGTGAATCCGGGGGGGCAGAGTTACTGTCTTAACCTCTACGATGAATTTGACAGTAGTGCATTAATCATTTCAACTTCCTTCTTGGTAGAATACAAAGAAAAAAAAGAGTTGTTCTCTGCCAGATGGGTGACGGTAGGAGAGATGGTGCTTCATGCTAAGCCCCTTTCTGTTGTGCCGTAACGCAGTTCAGCAGCAAACCGAGGAGTTTTCTACTTAATTTCTCAGGATCTTTGTTGAAATGAGTCATGTCCGCAACCACGCTGTTTTCTTTTCCCCTTCTCAAGTCTAGCTGCAGTGTTCTTGGTGTGATAGCAGGCTACCTGTGATACCAGGAGGCAAATGATTTCATGATTCTCTAAAACTAATAGAGAGCTCGCTACTTTGTACCTGACATTTTTTGTGTGGTACAAAGCAGTGCAGGGAGACCAGAGTAAGTCTGGGGTTGTAGGGGTGTTTTTTTCATTTTTTGGGGGTCTTTTTGAAAGCTTTTGACTTAGACATACACGCACACAAAAAGGCCAGAAGAAATACTGATTCGGGTAGCCAGAATTTACATGAGCATACAAAATACACTAATGTTTTAAACGTTAATGTAGTTTTTCAAAGTAATAGTAACATCCTAAATATGTCTGAGAAATGGTCTGATGCCACCTGAAATTATCTTCCGTATCAAACCAAGAGGGTAAATTGGGCCATAAATCATCATAGAAAGGACAAGGACAAACTTAGAAATTTATTCCCAACATTATCGGAAGCCTACGAACTTGAAATCCCAATTCTACGACTGAAATCCCAGATCTTTGTACTAAGTGCCCTCTTCTGTGTGAGTGGGGCTAGATGACATGGCTGCTGAAAGCTCCAGCAATTACAGCCTGGCCACCTTTCAGATGAATAAAATGCCAGTGTGGGAAGGGTGAAATGTTAGTACCCGGTTTGGATTACTGCCATGGTGTTTTCCACTACGCTGTGAGACTCTTAGCTTGCTAGAGGAATGCCTTTGTCATCTTCGGCCAGAATCCTTAAATCGATAAAGAGATGCAAGTACATCTCCGACAATAAAAGTGCAGCCTCAAACTATGTGGTCAAGTATTTTAAAACTTAAATTTCTGTGTGTGCAAGCTCGTTTAAGGCAAGTTTGTCTGCAGCGTCTGATCTGTGAGTTGACATCAGTGTAAATCCCTGAGGTGCGATTCGGTAAATGCCATTAGAAGTGGCTCATAAGCTCTTTTATTGCAAATGATATTCTCAGTTGTCCAATCTCTTTGCTTAGTTAAATCCTCGTTCCTGCTGTTGTGGTCATCGCAGTTGTAAAATCCCTCTACTTCTGGAAACAAAAGGATGGTTTGTAAAACCTGCTGGGGGCGGGAGGGGGGCTTAGGCCTTGGCTTCAAATTAACGTATGGCTGCTGATCTTGTTATTGCTGAGCAGATGCCGGGTATTTCAGATTTGTCGTAAATCTGCTGGAAACAATAAAAGGGGCTCGTTACAGCCCCATAAGAGGGAGGAAAAGGAGAGGGAGAGGTTTGTTTCTATGCTCTATAAATCACTTCTGTTGCGCTCTCCAAGGAAAACTCCCGATGTGTTACAGCCAGGGAGTGATTCAGTTTGGTCTCAGCAGCGACAGCAATAACAAAGCTGTACATCGCAGCATTCTTCTCATAACTCAAGTCTTCCAAAGAGATTCTGTGCGTGTGTTAGAGGCACTATAGCCTCTCTACTACAGGATGCATGAATCAGCCCAGTTAAGTTTAGATTGGAGAATACGTGAGTTTCTACTCACAGAACAAATTACGCCAACGTGAACTGGGAGGCAACTGGATGCTTTCAGGCTATTTTGTAAAATGGCAGAATCGAGGTTTTGCTGCTCTCTCATCCCTTTGAAAAATCCAGACTGCCATAGAAAGCTGCTTTTGCTCTGTTAGCATAATTTCCATTGGTTTCAATGTATAAGTGGCTTAAATTCCATTTATACAGCTAATCTGGTAAGTCGTATTTGGAATAAACAGTCTGAACAAGATTTTGCTCTCTGATTTAAAGGGTTTCAGTAGCTGGTGAACTTTATTCATGGCTTAATTCACCTTTAATGTTAGAATTAGTTTAAATACAGGACCTTGAGTATAACTCAAGTTGTATAGATCGGGTCTTCAGTAGGATTTTACAAAAACTCTATCAGCATTAGTTTAGAGGTACACGTGCGAAATATTTTTATTCTGAGGCTTCAAAGCATATATATTTGTTAATATGTGGCCATGCCAAAATGCATTAAATAAATGTTAGTGCCCAATAAATATTGTGCCAAGTGGAAGTGCTGTTCTTTGCATGCCAGTTTGTTGCTGTTAAGCTCCATGCTTGAGAGATGGTTGATGTTTTTATCAGTGGGAGGAACAGGAGGAACTTCTCAAGCGGTACCTAAGCGTCACTAGAGAAGTTTGTGTACAGTAGTACGACAGCTAGAGGCAGTTTAATTGCCTCCACGTTTTTGCTGTTCCATCTTGTCCCTCCCCTCCGCTTTTATCCCATCTATGACAGTTTCAATAATACTCTGTGGGAGACCAAATGACAGCTTTTGCTAGGCCTGCTCTTTGCTTACTTACCAACTGCATTTAAAACTACTCTGCTGTAAAACTTCGGTTCCTGCAAACGCATTTCTGATGTTCTGGATGCTCTCCTGCTCTGCTCCACTCCAGGCCTTGCCCTTCCTATCTACCGTGTCCTTCTAAGGGCCTGGAGCCAGGGCTAGGCACGCTGTGCAGTCGGCGAGGAGATGCTCTTCTTGAAGCCACGAGCAGTTCTAACCTCTTGCACCTTGAAAATACTTACAGGAGGGGATGGTCTCTGCACCCAGGTGCAAGGTGTGTAGGACCCTGGAAGGGAGAAGGTGCAGCTGGATGATTGCTACTGAAAGTAGACTGTAAGGCAAGAGACGCCAAAGGAAGAGACCCCACAGATCAGAGCAGTATTGAATACGAACACTGCTGTCTCTTATTACCTCCAAAGTGGAAAGGGCTTAAAATATCTTGTCACTTAAAACAGCGATGCTTGGATGTGCAGAGGCATGAAGGTCTCTTCTGTGGTCAAGGCTGAGAAGGTGTTTGTAGCTCTATGTCTGCGGTGCTCCATTCTTCTACAAGCAACAAGACATTACATGTATGTGCTGTTCTGCATCAAGAGTGCACAGTCACCTCTGGTGGAGCTGCAGAACGTGGTTCAAAACCAGTAGCTTTGATAAATAACAAGAAATAGTAATTTGTAGAAATAATAATACAAATGGCTCCTATGGAGAAGAAAGCCTGAAGTGTGCAAACCTAAGCAATTAGACACTTTTGCTTCAAAGTGGGTGTCCTGGTTTCAACTGGACAGAGTTAATTTTCTTCCTAGTAGCTGGCATAGTGCTGTGGTTTGGATTTAGGATGAGAAGAATGTTGAGAACACACTGATGTTTTAGTTGTTGCTGAGCAGTGCTTACACCAGTCAAGGACTTTTCAGCTTCTCCTGCTCTGCCAGGGGCACAAGGAGCTGGGAGGGGGCACAGCCAGGACAGCTGACCCCAACTGGCCAGAGGGCTATTCCAGACCATGTGATGTCATGCTCGGCATGTAAAGCTGGGGGAAGAAGAAGGAAGGGGGGACATTCAGAGTGATGGCGTTTGTCTTCCCAAGTCACCGTTACACGTGATGGAGCCCTGCTTTCCTGGGGATGGCTGAGCACCTGCCTGCCCATGGGAAGCAGTGAATGAATTCCTTGTTTCACTTTGCTTGTGCCCGCAGCTTCTGCTTCCCCTATTAAACTGTCTTTATCTCAAGCCACGAGTTTTCTCACTTCTACCCTTCCGATTCTCTCCCCCATCCCATGGGGGAGAGTGAGTGAGCAGCTGGGTGGGGCTTTGTTGCTGGCCAGGGTTAAACCATGACACTGGGACAATGTATGCTGTGGTTTATGTGTTTAAGACTTGGAGGAGACCCCCTAGATCATCACATCCCACTGAGTCCCTTCACAGGCGCTACACAGCATATTCATCAAGCCTTACCTTTAGATTCTTTTCCCCCTTTGCTGCTGGAAGCCTGTTCCAGGTCCTCACCCTGCTGATAGTGAGAAATCCAAATAAAAAGCTTACTCTTAACCAGTTTATACCCACTTGGGTTTGTGTCAGTGCCGCTTGTTGGCTAAAACCCAGTAAGCATTCTGCTGTCAGGAGGGCTGCACAGAGAGAAATCTTGGATTAATAGATCAGAGTGCTCCAGGAACCTTTTACAGTGCACAGGGATGACAGGAGTTGCAGAGCTCAGATATTTCTATAACAGTAATTGGTTTTCAGAGGCAGATCCTAACGCTGCACATCCTTTTGATCAAGGTTTTGCTGATTTGAGTGGGGATTCTGTTTGTAGATGATCTGCAATAGTTGGATTTGTATTTTGTTGATGATTATTTGGTAGAAAGGAGAGCATTTCGGTTTGGTGTGCGTGTGCACAGAATCTATATTGCAAAGGGGAAAAACAGCTGAGGATGGAAGAATCTCTAAATTCTCATTTTGGTTGCCTAATAGAATGATCTTTAACAGCACAGGCATTGACATTTGAAGGAAATAAACATTTTATTTTCTTTTCCCAAATTGCTGCTCTTTATAAACGCGACTCACTTGTTACTTTACTGTTTTAAAAGATAAAAGTTGTTAGTCATTGGCAGGAAATGTTACTTACCTGTCTGTCTTGACTGATGGATCAACTGCAAATACTATTTTTGTCCAATTAGAACCAGAGGAGAAAGGGGGGGATAGTTCTTGTCAAAGGCGCTTCAGTTTTTAAAAGATGCTCAAGACTGCCAAATTTTAACATAGCAGTTTTTTCAGGCAGACACAAATATGAGATCAATATCAGCATCCCCGAACTTCATACTTTATTCCTTGGCTTTCTAAATTTCACTTGTCGAGACAACTAGGCAGGCCTCATTACTAATTAATAAATCACTAGAATTAAACACTGCAGTAGGAAAAATAATGGGAAAGAAAACAAGCTGACTGTTCAGTGGGTTTGTAATAGTGGAAGGTTTTGTGGTCTTTTCTCTAACAGTATGAAATTGCTACACCCACAAAAGCACTATCATTTAGTGTGTTCTGTTAGTAATCACATCTTTCTTCATCAAGTGGAATCTAGAAACCTGTTACTTCAAAGAAAATTGTCATGGCAGAATGGATCTAGTCATTATTTTTATTACAGTGAAGCTTCACAACCATGCTGTGGAGAGCATTACATGCACAAGCACCCAGAAAAGTCATGTCCCTAGGAACCCACACCTGACATGCTAACCCTACTTTCATGACTGATGAGTTTTTGACAACCTTTAGTAACTAGCTGAGTGCTTCAATGACTACCGAAACCCATGGGGTAAAGCCCTCAAGCCCATTTAAATTAACACAAGGTCAAGCTTAATTTATGCAAAAGAATGAAATGCAGAGTGCTCTCGTGCATTTTAAAAGACAAAGTAGCATTGGAAGAGCTTGACAATGACTTCTGGGTTTATAGTAGAGATGGAATAACCCTGTCAGTCAGTTTGTAGTCTTGAGTCTAATTTTCTGGAGACAAAAAGAAAAACTCTGTGGATTAATTTGCAGATTTAATAAGGCAACTGTAGAGAGTAATCTGTTTAATTCCTGAACTCAGAAGCACCTGAGAGCACTCTTCTTCATCAGCTGGAGAAGGGAAAAAGGTGCCTTTCACCAAGAAAATCTTATGGTTCCTCTGGTGGGATATAAAAAAGCAACCATGTGCACTTGGACATGAGGTTGCAGTGGCTGTGATCTTTTCAGAGAAGTTCTGGAGAAGAAATTACTCATTTTGTCACGATGAGCTTGTTTCTTCTGAAGTTCCTTAAATGCTCCTGGGTCCTCCCCAGTGAAAATGTTGCTGCAAGGTGCAGTGGAAACAAAATTCTCCAGTGAAGGATGATGATCTAAGAACTACAAGAACTGACGTAGATAAGCATGTGAAGGCATAAAAGGCTGCAAATTTGGTGTCAAAAGGGAATGCTAAAGCAAAGCTGAGTAGAGTTTGTAGAATCCCTGCCTAACTTAAGAAAGTGAACCCTTAAACCAAACTACATGGTGGCACCTCCTGGTAAAACCAAGCAAACAGGTCCTTTGGGAAAGGAGATCAACCCACAGGGAAATATTTAGACTGCCACTTACTAATTCAAACCATTGGACTTACTCGATGAGCATGGTGATGTAGTCAAGGGGCTAAAAGATAGGGGTTATTCTCATTTGCAGGCAGCATGGAAGTTAGTAATTCAAAGCTGCTGAAAGGTTTGCCATTTCCTTACACACAAGTTCTATCACTGTTCTTCCATTTGTGTTCATTCATTTTTTTCCTTAACAAACCAAACCTGCTCTGTACAGGAGATGTTCTGCTGAATGATGGAGATCCAAGCACTTGGAGTAATTTATCAAAGCAACATGAAATGCCTACAGTCAGCCAGCACTAGCACCGAGTCTCCTGATGAGAGGCTGCTCAAAGCATCATGAATACTGTCTGCTTCCTAAACTACTTACTGAACTAGTTGTTTGATTTTTTTTTTAAGCAGGAAACCTATTGTTTAATTTGTAGAATTGAGTCATAGAAACTATTTCCTGTCTGAATGAAAACAGTGTCCCCGATTACCCCAAATATTGCACAATTTTTCTATTAAAAAGTTTTTACTGAGAATCAAATTCTGAGATTTGCTTTTTTTTTCCCCCTTTGAGATGTATTTAAAATAGTTTTAGCTCTCAGTGTCTTATTAAGCATTTTTGTCCAAATAAAAAGTCCTCAAAAGCTCTGGTAGTCATAGCCAAATGGGACTCTGAATTGCATTTCCATCTTACAAAAGACAGTTGGAAAGATAACTGTGTGGGAAGTGATACACTGCAGGGAACAGTCATGCCCTGGCAGTGAGGATGGACCAGATGACCTAATTTCTCTTTTCCATTAGAGCTGTCTCTGATTCCCCAGCTAGTCATGCAAACACATGACTGACAATAAGGATAAAAAAATATGGAAAGCATATCTCCCAGTGTAACAAAGAAAGCCTGCTATTCCTCATTCCGTCACCTTGCAAGCGCTGATTAATTGAATGCCATATAGTCTTCCATCTTTATGCTGGCCTTTTAGATGAAACCTTCAGAACTGACTTGCCATCTGCTCTGCCTGGAATTCAGAACTGCTTTCTCAGCTGCATGGGACATCTGCTTGATGCAGCTGACGGGTGAATATAAGCAAGATTTGAGAAGAACTGCTCAAAGAAGTTGCAGGGGTAATACACTCTATGGCCTGCTTTAATAATATCCCACGCAACTCATCCACAACAAGATTTTGGAAGTGCAGCGCTGTGCCGACTACTTCTACATTATCACGCCTCGTACAGAACTGACGTGGGCTTGCTGTGCCAACTCACACCAAGGTGTGAAATCCCTGCCTGCACAGTTGGTTAAACTGGTGTTAAGATGGCTTTTTGCTGCTGTTCATAAGTTGGCCACGACCTGGATGTCGTGATCCAAAGGATTTTATTTATTTATTTATTTGGCAAGTAAAATCTTCCCTAACCATTTGCCAAATTTTCCTTTCCCATCACTTCCTCAGTCAGCTTCTTACTGACTGCTGTCCCTCAGCCAGGGAGCCTGTGGTCTTGCAGTGTCAGATATTACCTGGGATATTTTTGGAATCAGTGTTTAGATAATGCACAACATTATCACGGGCCGTGTCTTTGAAATATAATGTTATTAACATATCCTGATGCTGCAGAGTTTGTACATGAAATTTTATTCCCAACTCATGTATCCCATCCATATAATTCTCCATTAATGTTATACATGTTGCCTACAAACACAATCACCTACCAAAGGCCAATGAACCCTGAATGTAGCATTAAGATGAGACTGGATTACAAGAATGCACTTAGAAAGACTTGCACCTACGTGAAGAGAGGTGAGGGTGTACAAGATAAAGAACTTTAAAAAGCAGAATACACTCACCAATAAAACACCGTTGTTGTTTTGATGGAAAACTATACAAACCCACCCTATCGTCTGAAGTGGATGTTTACCCCCGAGATTCCTCACAATCTGATCTGCAGATACGAGATGGATGCTGATCGGGCCAACTGAGACCCAGGAGGAATTTGCCTCTCCGATCCATTTTGGAAGAACTGTTGTGAGTTTTATTTCTTTCTCTCTAAGAGAGAGTGGAGTACAGTGTTTCTTGCTGCAACTTTATGCTATATACTTTCTACTACTGCAGAAATCTAGTCTCTGCCGTGCCCAATCTCTCCTGACCTCTTTGTGGCTTTCTTTTTTTAATAGTTGTGGCTTTCAGCCTTTTTCTGTAGGTATTTTTTGTTACAGGATGTTGAAAACGTGTTTTGTAGCCTAGGTTGATGGACTAAATGTTTTGTGGAGCCTTATGAAGTAGATGGCTACCACACGCTTACTTGGATGTAAAAGGTTGGGCCAGACCTGTGTTCCTTTGGCACTGGCAATCACCTCTTTTCTCCTCGTGTGGGCCACCTGTGGAGCCAGAGACAAAGACAAGATACAGAAGATGTCGATTGTTTTCCATGCCCTGCATTCCTCTTCCTGAAGTATTTTCCTGTGTAGAGCGATCCCAATTTCTAAAACAGACAATGAGAAAAAAACCTTCAAGCTCCTAAGATAGATAAATAAATAGATGTGGATTATAAAAATCTTATAGGTTAATCAGAAAAATACTCTGATAATGAAGAAAGTTTAACATTTAGAAATGAGGAACGTCTGACTACTGAGGGCCCTTTGTGGAAGAAATGACCAACAATTCAAAATCCTACAGCAATTTAACAGCATATTTCCTATCTGTTGCCACTTGTTTTTTTCCCTTGACTTGTGAAGTTTTTCCATGTTTTCCTTTTCCAAACGCAATAGAGAGATTGTTGCTGTTCAGGGAAACTGCCTCAGAGACCTACCCCACTGAGACAAAAGTCACTAGTGGATGTGATTTGATGTATTTTTCTTCCATGTCACTCAGCTTTCGTATTCACTTGCATCCACCCACTCCCAAAACTCTTACTTGCTATTAGTAATGTCTTTACTTGTTTTCTTATTTCAAAGATCCTTGGCTTAAAAACACTACACATTGCTTTTAAACAACGTTGTGGGATGAAAGGCATCAGTCTGAGCCTTATAAATTAGAGCAACCCAAAGGCTGTGTTGATTTACGCTTGCTGCCAGTGGTGTCTGAGGGCTGTTTCATTAGATGGGAATTGCTGCGGTAAAAGGTCCGGTGGCAGCCTGTGCTCCTGGGCTGTGCCTCCTATGCTGACAGCCAGTTCCTGCACTGGATACGTGCTCTGGAGGATCCCTCTGAGGCCACAGTTATGTGGTCAATTTAACATAAATCCATACTGCCTCTGAAACCTTCTGCTGTCTCATCTGTGCTTGTCCCTAGTGCCTCCCTTAGGCTGGCATCAGGCAGCCTGAATGTAAAACCGAGCATGAAGATGGATGCTTTTTACTTATGCATTCCCCAACCACATGCTGACCCACTCCCCGCCTGGTTCTGCAACAAGAGAAATAGGTGGGAGGGGAGACCAGGAGGACTACCCTTCCCTGTGCCAATGCAGATTATGTTGGACTAATGGGGCTGCATAAGAAAAGCCTGAGTACAAGGAGTTTTCGGACACCCCTATTTGTCAGACTCAGGGCAGGTTTATTTATCTGGCTTCCACTGGATTCTGGGTCTGGTCTTGTAATGTTTATGTTGGTTTAAAGTGATAGCAGATTCACACTCATTACTCTTTAGGAGCTCCCAAGACTTGAAAGTAAATTGCACAAAAAGAAGAGTTGTATCTAAAAGACAAAAATTATGATCTTCACCAGAGAAAGAACCTTGGTACCCTTAGCAGAACCGTCAATCCAAATGACACCCTAGAAGAGCACTGGCGCAGTAAGCAATCATGTCTTACTACAATTTCCATGTATTCTGTGTGATCCAAATGTCTTCCTACCTTTGCAGTTGGGTTTAGGGTTAAAAACAATTTTAAGCATTGTTTAAAACCTTGTTTTCAGTCTTCCCGTGCTTTATTCTGTGGGAGGCTGTGTTCCAGAATGAAATGTCCTGGTACTGATGCCTGTAATCAAGGAAATGGGAGACTATGGGATTAATAAAACAAACAAGCTGATCTGATAATTATTCTCTGAAAATGAGTTCACTAAGAAAGTTTAACTGACTAAAATGAAATAATCTAGGGCAAGACTCCTATTAATTTCAATTGGGAAATCAAGAGTATTGGGAATCCCCACCTTCAATTTATAACCTAAGAATGCACCACATTTGTGGGAAGCAAAAGGGTGGGAAAATAATAAATAGTGTGCCAACTAGTTTCAGTTGTGCTAGTGTGTGTATACCAAAATATATATTTTATTTATAAATATTATACTGTATATATTTTATATGTATTTGTATAGGTGTGTTTGTTTATTTATGAGATGTGACCATGTCTGGTTGCAGAAGACTGACTCATTTCATTTTGGAAATCAGTTATAATCAGATGGTAACAACTCTTGGTTACTAAGAACGTAGGCTGAACTTTGCCAGTAACTACACATCATCAGCTGTAAGTTTGCAGTCCTCTGAGCAACTCATGCCCTTGCATAACTCAGATTTCTGGTCTCAAATGGGGAGAGAGACATTGTTAAAGTTAAAATTTTGCACCAAATACATTACTTCAATTATGGCATCTTAGGTCAAGACTATTTAAAACACATTTGTTACTGGTCTTGTTGTCTGGAAAAACAGAAATAAAAGCAAAAATCCTTAAACACAGAGATAAACTATTTTCTGTATGTTCCTGTAGACTTCCATAAGAATAGCAAGTTAAATACCTATTTTTTAATTAAATTTAACTGTTTAAGTTATAAGAAATGCTAAAGGCTTGCACAGTAAAAACAACAATGTAAAAGTCTAATAAATTCATACAGTATAAAAACCTGCTAAGGTTTACTTACTATCATACATTGAAGTATCTTTGTATTAATAGGAGCAAGACAAGAAACACACATTTAGAGATCTTACAGAAACATCTCCTCGTATTTTAACTGTTTCTCTACGTTGCACAAATTGCACACACGTTTGTAGACTTTGGCCACTGGTTTATGTTTTTATACTTTACTGATTGTAAGTTTTAATAGATTAGCATCACACCTGCATTGTTCTTATCATTAGATAGACAACATTGTCAGCCACTAATGTGGCAAATATTTTAATAAAAGCAGCCTAGCTTCACTAATGCTTCAGAATCGTAAGATCATTAAGGCTGGAAGGGACCTCTGGAAATCACCCGGTTCAACTTCAAAGTTATGGGTAGCTCAGGGCCTTGCCTTTGAAACACACTTAATGCTAAACAGTCCTAAAACACTACATAGCATTAAAAACATTAAGGTAGTCGGTTGTTCTCACTACCCCACTAACAGACAGATACCTTAGGCTTTTCCTGTGTTAAAATTCAGCCACTATACTTATTTCATCTTACATAAACAGCAATTTTGCTGTTTTTCTCTCAAGATCTTAACTGCTCTTTTTTTATTTTATACCCCTTATTGCAAAAGGCCAATAAGTGTGAATACATTTGTATAGGCTGAAGAGTGGGGCTTGGTGAATTATGCTTCAGACTGCTATTGCTCAGATACTAATAAAAGCCAATAATCTGTGTTCTTAAGGGAAAAAGGCCTGGCTTTGTATCAGCTGTGGTAAATGAGAAAACATGTCCAACAGCAACACACTAAAATTCAATTGGTTTAATTTTGTTCTAATCACTTTGTAGAGGGTCCTGAAAAGTGATGTTTTCTTTAATCTCAGTATAATTGCACCAAAAAAGTAGCAATGCATCCTTGTTCACACTGGCTCCAGCAATGTTTCTCATCAAAAGATACAGAAGAACTAGCTCTTGGACCGACAGGATGGTTTAACTTGCAGGGGGCAGTCTGCTAATCGTAATAATTCCTACTGGGAAGTGACTCCTACAGCAAGGCCTCTGTAAGCAGAGCTGGAAAACGCTGGTACGTATATCCGATCAGTCTGTGACCATCACTGTAAGAGTCTAGGGGCCTCGTGATGCAGACACTGCTGCCTAAGAAGTTGTACTGACAGCAACTCCTATGTAAAAAGTAAGTGGAGGCCCAGGGTATTCCATCACAAGCGTTACCGCCCGTGTCTGATTTTTCTCAGCCAGGTGTCTTTGGGGAGTCTTCTGGACAACCCAGGAATTGAAATAACTGTAGACCTTGATTCTGCATAACTATTTACACCTTTCCCTCCTTTTTGTTACTCATGTTTGTGAAGAACACAAGTAAGTGAAAAGAACAACCAGCCAACGAAATAAACTATGGATGTACCTAAGAGTTCAGTTCAGTTTAATTACAAATACATACAAGGACAAACAATATTCAGCACCATTTAACTGGTCAAACTGGAACAGTTTTTGTGAAGCTGAAAGGGAAAAGGAAAGGCAGAGAAGAAAGAGGTATCAAGGGGAAAAGTGCAAGAGCAAAAGCTCTGATGGCACTACAGAGTTTGATTTTTTGTCTCTTAAACTTTTTCCTGGTCATCTTGTTGACTTCCTCATCTTTCATGGCCCTCCTTATGGCCTGTTTCAGAGTCCTCCTTTGCCCTGGTCCCATGGGGTCAGCTTTTCTCAGCGTCCCAGAGAAAGCAGGAACAGTTACCCACTGCTGGTTTCTGACAGCAGAGTACATTTGGTTCAGCTGAAGCCAGGTATACAAGTAGCGTAAGATCAGAATCGGGCCTTTTGCATGTGTCTTAAGGGATATGAACTGTATCCTTTGAACTGCATTCTTGATGATATTTGTCACACATTTCCTCAGCAACTTCAAAAGGGTTTGAGTCCTTTGATTACAGTAGTGTTTACCTACTATCTTAACTAACAGGCATTAGCTCAGAACAGACATTCACTTAAACACTCCCTTTATTAACTTTTCCCGCAAGTGCAAAAATGCTTTCATTTACAAACAGCCATGTTAACGTCCCTGGTTAAATATAAAGCAGTATTCTTTTGAGATCAAAAACATTAAGAGTGATAACCAAGTATGAATTTCTGTCCTAGATTTGCAGTAAACTCTGTGCCTGTACTTTCTGCTTTAGGGACCTTAGAAACTTCCTGCCTACCAGTTCTTCACCATTAACAGCATGCAGTCACACGCGAGAAACAGGAGCTCTAAGTATCAATCTCACTTTTCATAAAGAAAATTGTCTCTTGTCTCTAAGATAATCACTTAAAAATGGGTCTAGCACTGTGCCTATTTTCAGGTTATTTCCCAGTTCTTTTAAATTGGTGCTTTAGGTCAGCAGGTGTACAATAACTATGGCTACTTGGCACTTATATTGCATACTTAATGTATATCAATATCCACATAACAGGGTACATTAAGTTTTGTGAGTTGACTACACTCAGGTGGTCCCAACTGTTTGGAGGCTACTGAGCTAGACTGACATTTACGATTACAGAATCACCAAAGTGCTCCCAGGTGCCTTATGATGGCACAACTGTGTGGCCAGTGCAATCTAAGTCACGGCTCGGGGAATAAGCTAGCTCAGTGGCATATTTGCTGACCCACAGGGCAGACCTCTCAAGGATTTTTCCTACCATTATGAAGAGTATACTTCCACCCAAACCTCTCCAGGTAGGCCAGGAGAAAGATGAGAGCCTGCACAGGTGTAGCAAGGGAACGTGCCTTCAAGCAGCACTCTCCTAAGACAGAAGTGTCCCTTGGAAGTACACTTCTCTCTGTCTTCCTGTTGCGTGTCCCGTATCAGATCTAGCTGCTGAGCAAATCCCAGAGGAGTGTAATCAGGTAGGGCTGGGGAGTGGCAATTGCATGAGTCACATTTTCAGCATATAGAACTGAAAGGCCGGCTGTGGGGATAGAATTGAGGCACCATGCAAATGAGATATCAAAGGCAAATAAATACAAATACATATAAAAATAATGGTTGAAATCTCAGCTGATGGGCAGGTGACTCTTGAATCGCATGTAGGTTTTAAGTGGTTCAAGTGTGGTTCCTGCACCAAAGCTCCATCATGAGGATGGCCGGTCTGGGTAACCTGAACCCCAGCTGCTGGATGAAATGAGCCAGCTGGTGCTCCTGAGCCTGACATCAGCAGGTCATCTGCAAGCCAAAGACACATGCAGAAACATTTTGCAGTGGTGAACTGGTGTCCCTGATGCAGCCTGCTCACAGAGATTTCCTTTTCTTTTTGGAAATAGATGGCACGTGCAGATCCTGGTCACATGAAGATTTTGGTATAGTGTTCATAGACCCAAGGCATTTGGTGAGCTTTTTTACCTTTGCAAATAAGTGACTTAAAAATAAATCCTCTTGGTCTTGCTCACATAGTCAGCAGGACTACTTTGTCTGAGAAAGAACTGTGCGGAGTTGGATTCAGATTTCCTGCTTACTACAGTCACTTACCCCTATTCAGAGTGCAAAGTACTTGCTAGCCCAGAGCAGTAATGCTTCACACTTACATTGCTCAGATACCAATGAGTTGACGGGGTCAAAAATGAATAAGAATGAAACCTCTGAACAGGTTGATAGCTTGCTGACGCTGAGGGTTGCACCGGCTCAGCGCAAAGCTGCCTGCATTCATCCAGTTCTGGGGCGAATGGGTTCATTCAGCCAGTGGTGCAAGTTAGGGTGAACCTGCCCTGTCCTGCTGCTGCGAAGACACCAGGTCATTACAGGAGATCAGAATTTCTTCTTCCTCTTGTCCTGGTCTTGTCCCTCCATCAAGGCTTTAAGATGGCACCCAGAGGAGCATTCATACAGACACACAACTTCTCATTGTCAAAGAGGAGAATCACTGCAACATCCAAACACAGCAGATTTTTTTAAAGAGCATCTGATTCTGTAAGAGGCTCTGGGCTTCTGTTTTCACCATGGAACCCAAGGAAGATGCATGGTCTTATTTGCTTGGCCAAGGCATTTGTCTCTTTTTCAAGCAACTCTCAGCATTGCCACGTTGACCAGTGTGGTCTACTACAGCTCTAATGAGGAGTACCAAGCAAAGTCTAAGGCTACGTTCCATGTATTCCATGAATTGTTCTCTATTTGAGATCTTGCCAGAAAAAGTAGATGACATTAATCCATTCCAGCACAGCTTCTTTCTAGCCCACTCTTTTTCTGTTTCTTTGTAATGCAGTTTGTATGGCATTCAATACATTAATGTTTCATAGCATGTTTAAGTCTCCATTTAAACTTAAATCCCATATTGCCAATGTAGCTTGTGAGAAAACAAAAACAAAACCGAAAAACCACAGGAGTTCCACCTTGCAACTCTCACTCATGAGAATAAACCTGACTTGTGAAGCCACTGACTACTGATTTCAGAGTTTGCGCCAAAGAATTTAATTTGCCTCTTACAAAGCTTCCTGTACAGTTCTAAGCCTATACAGGGACTGTTCATACATATATACAGACATAGATATGTACACATACACAAAAATGTATGGCCAAAGCAGTCAGCATAAGGTAGATTCCTAGCAGATCTTTCCAAATCCAAATATGTGCACATTTAATCAGTTAAAATTTCTACTTTTTTTTTTTTTTTTCAGTTCACTAGCTGTTCAGTTGTCCAGCTGCCAGGTTTTGCTTGGGTTCCTGGAGTATACTGGCAATCAGTTCCCTCTGTGTCTCATACATCAAAACAGTACAGCTGGAGAGTAGCCCACATTTCATTACCTTCCAAAAGGTCCACATTAGCTGCCTTTACGTTAACAATACTTCCTGAAGATATATTAGCTTGATCAAAAATATTGCCCAGAAGAAATACATTTTATCTTACCTAGTACTTTGATTCTCTTTTCTCCTATAATATTTCAATTCAGAGAAGCTTTTTCTTAGGAAAGAAGAGAGAGCCAGTAAAAATATCTGATGTCCTCTGAAAAGCAGAAGATTTGTGCCATAGATGTTAATGTCTACCAGTGTCTGTGACATCTGTTCTGTGGTTAAGAGAAATCACCAGCATATATTTTAAATTACCAGGATGTATTTTAGAACCAGAACATAACAAAACCTAGCAATTTGAAATTAGGTCCAGTTTTTTTTTTTCTTCTTTTTTACTGTAGCCATAAGTGTTATCAAAGAATTGCACTGGTGAAAAGAAAATCTGGTAACAAACAAACAAAGTTAAAAAAAGGATCCTTTTTTTAAGGATTACTTAAAAGTAAGATTATTGCTCTGTAACATTTATGCATTATTTATAAATAACTCCAGTGTTGACTGTAGATTAAAAATTACAAATAAGATATCACAGTGACAGGACCAAATAGGATGTGGCCCTCCATTACACATTGCAAGGTCTTTTCGTGCAGAACTTTGTGAGGTGTGCACAGTGGAAGCAGGGGCCACAGGACCTGTTCACAGCATCATTGATGCTAACAGAATTGCCTAAATTGCCTGAAGTGATTTAGGATGAGATTTAAAACCCCATCCTGCTTCCATGTAAAGCAGTGTCAAAGTTCTGGTTCTCTGAACGGGTCTGGGATGCCTATGAAAGCATGAACCACCTTGCCAGGGTGCATCCAGAGATGTCTGCAAAGGTGAGAAAGGCAGGTGTGAAACTACCTAGCAAATAATGAGGATGAGTGTTTTACATTCATCATCCTGTCACGGAGCACTAGAACTCTGGAAAACTCCCAAATGGCTTTGTCATTGACATATGATGGATCTTAAATATGTTTGTCCAGTTCTAAGAGAGTCGCAAGCTTTAAATATGGAAAGGTGTTTTCTTTTTCTCTTAAGATCCCTATTAGGACAAAAGTGCACCAGTCAGATGGCAGAAGTGTCTTCATCATCTATATATGTAATCCTACAGAAACATGTGCCACCTTTCCTAAGAACCGGAAAGGAATACATGGAAGACTGGCAGCACCATCTCCTGGCAGATATAAGAAATAGGGACCACTTTGTGTCAGAACGCAGGGACGAGTAATTTCTTTGTGGATTTTAAAAAGGCTGTAACAGGAACTAACTTCACAAGAGTATATTCCCTCCCTGGGAAGATTAACTTTTATATGCTTCAGGGAAGAAAAGCATTTTGTGTTATTATAATTATGAGGAACACATACTCACAATTATGAAGAACAAATTCAAGTTGCTTCTGCCTTTAAAAAGCTCTCTCATGTTGGCCTTTCTGCTTTCCTTTATATTGTAGTAATAGCAGGTTTCAAAATTAGCACAGCAGGTAAATTAGTCCAGTTGCAGTGTATTAGTGTAGTCCTGGAAGACCACAGAAGACCATAGAAGCTCCCTGTAGTCAGAAAATAATGGAATATGTAGATTTCAAGAGATGTAGCCAAGTTGCTGTCTTGCTGAGTAGGCGGGGGAAATAGCGGGATAAGACTATTAATGCTGTAAACTGCTGGATCATTAACGTGGAATGCTATTATACATGTTTAGAAAGTGACAATGGGCCAAACAGCACTAAGTGAGGATGAGGTCTTCAGAGTAATGAAAGACTGTATGGGAAAAAAACCCCCAACATCTATGAAGATAAAAGAGAGGAGACTAAGACAGATGACTTAGTGGAAGACAGTCATGGAAGAGAACAGAGGAGAAAAAAAAAAAAGGTGAGGAAGAGAGGAATTCTAGAAACTTCTACATTTTTTTCTTGAACACTACTACTGGTGTGCCAGTAGTACTACATACTACTGGTATGCCAAGGATTCCAGATCACAGTTGTCAGAACAGTCTCAATCAGCAAGAGGGAGAAGACTTAACCTCAGTGATCAAGATACAAGTATACCAGTCGTTTTGTTAAGTCTTGCAGATATGGTCTTGCTACTAGGTCCCATGCTCCCTGGTGTTAAACAGACACAAAATCCTCCGTGTGTTACACAAACATTTGTTGTTGGGTTTTTTTCCATGTTTTGGAGGTTATTTTACTTTGAGAAACTCCCAAGTGCTTTTAAAGAATTTTTTTTGCAGATGATCATGAAAGTGGAAGAGACTTAAGAACTCATTCATTCCATCCTCTTACTCCTTGTAAGACATTGCACTTCCCAGGATTTCACCCAACTTAGATTCAAGAGCCACGAGTAAAAGGGGTTCCAATAATTCCCATGGGAAAATATACAGCTTTGTGCAGCCTACTGTCTCCCACATGGGTGGGGTGGGGCTCCGCTTATCTCTTGAGCTCAGAACCAAAATCAGGCCTTTTTCCCTCAGGGGCATCATTTACTATTCAAACATTCACAAAACAAAGGTAATCCTGGATCCTCCTCCAGGACCTGCCCTAAAATTAGCTTCCTTTCTAAGCAAACTATTAAATTTTATATTTTAGGAATCACTCTGGTTAGTGGGATAACCTCTTTTATCAAATACTTGTTCTTAAAGGAACACTTCTTCTGAGCAGGGTTTGCTGCCCAGTTAGCTGTATCTGCACTTCTCTAGCTTTTATTATTAACACAAGAGAACACATTTTACTGGCTATATATGTTCAATTATTTTCTTTCTTTTTTTATTCCATCTGCTGTACTTGTGTTATTTCTCACCGAAACACACTGCATGCTGTTTGTCATTCATTTCTAATCATATTATATGTATTTATCATATCTTTGTTTAGGCCCTAATGCCTTTAATAAACTGGCTCAAATTCCTTAATGGGGGAAGAGAAGAATGCATTCCTATCAATACTGGGTATCAACACACTCCCAAAGTGCTTTGTACTGGACACAAGTTGATATGTTTGTATAAATAAATAAAAAAAAAACCCAACACACCCAGACATACCATCAGAATAACCTACTGATACAAAATAAATTATTGTTATTAACGTGGAATAAACAACATTGCTAAATCAATTACACTCTTCTGAATTACTATTTACTGTTTTGCTATTATATTGTCTAAACACCTTCATCTAACCATGCCATTGTGATGGGCTCTGTCAAAACACAAATCACAAACAGTCGATAACCCTAAAAATATTTACAAGCAATCAACTTTTATTGTTAAGGTGTCCTTGTGAGATAAGAAGTAAATGGAAGAAACAAAACATATCCAGTGGGAAAATTCAAGTGATAACAGAAAAAGAAACCTTTTACCTGGCTTCCTCTATCTTGTTTTGACAAGTTACAAACAGTGAGAGACAGGAAAGTCCACCCATAATAAAAAAATGGATCTGTACAGGGTTTTCTGCTGTTCAAGAAGTGGTCTGAAAATAGGTATAAATTGTTTGCAGATAAAACAAGACTATTCCAAACAGTTCCATCTAAAGTTGATTCTAAGAGTTGCAGAAAGATCCTGCCTTATTAAATGTTGTCTGATAAAATGGCAAATGAAAATTGATGCTTACCTTAACCAAATACGCACAGTGATGAGCACTCGGAAAGAGCTGTTGGAAAGCTGGTGGAGCATCAACTACCTGAAATCTCAATTCTGTACTCAGTGGAGGTCAAAAAATAGGAAAGTCACTAGAATTAAGACATGACCAGAAGAAAATGATACATTATGTACTTCAGAATGGGTATACTATAACTAAAAAAATACAGGAAGAGGTAACTAGAACAAGCACAAATATGAAATAATTCCACACAAGGGAAGACTAACTGAAATAAGACTTTTCATTTGGGAAAAAAAAAAAAGGGTCACGATAAAACTCATGAATGACATCAAAGCATCAAAGGAAAGAGTTATAAAAGGTATAAAACTCAACAATAAATCCTTTTCAAGAGGCTTTGAGAGGATTTCAATAATCTGACTGTACCAAGTGCTTGCTAGGTTCTGAAACCCACCAACTGAACTGCGTGTAAAAGCAGCACTTGGAGACGATAAGGCCATAGTGGAAAACCTAAGATAACTTCCTGTGTCTGTGTTCATCTGCTGGAACACTTCCTCGTCGGCCTTCTCTTTGATCTGTTTCAAACAGAAAAGTTGACCTAAAAAAAGGTTGATGAATTAAGAGCAGACAAAATGAACAGTAACAGATTCTCAGAGACTAGCTGGTGTTCATCCAAGAAACTCAAGGATGCAATAACTGAAATTCTAACTGTAGTGTATATTTTTGCTTAAAACTTTCTTGGCATTTAAGGAATGGATTGCATCAAAAGTTACATTTTTTTTAAAAAAAAATGTTTCTAGAGGAAAGCTGGAGAACTACTGATCATTAAAACTGACACCCATTCTGCACAGTTAAGTAGCAACTAGAATTAGTGCATACATGGACAGATGTGATTTACTAGCGAAAGGTCAACATGGGTTTTATCAACATTGTTTTTGCAGAGAAGTCTTGCCTTATAAACTTGATATGAAATTTTCTGAAGGTGTCAGCAAGCACTTGGATAAGAGACAGACACAATTTGCTGAGGCAAAAAGACTTGCAACACTTTTTTGCCAAAGGCTCTTAAGGAGACTAAGCAACTGTGGGATAAGAGAGATGATCCCCACATGGATTAAAATGTGCTTAAAAGTCTAAGAGCAAACAGCCAGTTTTCACAGTGAAAGGAAGTCACTAATGCACCTTCACATCTCTGTGCTTATTCATAAATAATTTGAATAAGGAGGTGAGGAGTGACAAGACAAAGCTTGTTGAGGATACCACGTTATTCATGGAAGGAAAGAAAAGGTGTGGCTGAGAAGAATTGCAGAAAGACCTTTCGATACTCGGGGCTCAGTTACTCACACTCATGCCCTGTGATATGGGAGACATCTTAATGGTTCTGGCACAGGACCTGATGGAGACCCACGCTCTTCTGAAGCCTTGGTAAGACGCTTTATGTTATCTGAAATACCACTAAACACCTACGTATGGGCAAAATGAACTGAGCCTTCAGTGACTGGCAGCAAAATGATAGATGATTGTGAACACAGATAGATGCAAAGTGATGCATGTGGGGAAAACGCAGTTCTACATGACATGCAGAATAACGGTGTCTGAACTGACCGTTACACTTCAGGAGTGAGATCTTGGAAATATAACGTTATTTGTAGGACAATGGCAGTTCTGTGGAGATCAACAGCAAAGTGAATGTTAGAAATATTTAGGAATAATATTGAGAAAAAGACAGGGAATATTGTTATGTCACTTTATAAATCCACTGTATGCCCCTATCTTCAACACTGTACACAGTTCCAGTCACACAGCCACAAACAGGAATAGCAGAATTGGAAAAGTTCATAGAGTAGCAACAACCTTCCATTGAAAGAACAACTAAATTCCACTGGGACTTGTCAGTCTGCAAGAGAAGCCTTGTCAGACTGAAAGGAGACCTCATGGAGGCTATAAAGTGATGACAGACACAGAGCAAAATTGTTTGCTGTCCTTTCCAAAGCAAGAAGCAGGGGTCATAAAAAACCAATCTGTTGAAAGCAGAGAAAGTGGACCTTCATATATGTGATTACCCTGTGGAACTCCCTGCTGAGAGATGTTACGGATGCTACAAGTTTACAAGCAGTAGAGGGCCAACAGGACAAAGGTCTGGAGGAGATACATTGAGAGGTCCTAAGGAAGAATACACTACTTCTGATTTAGGGAGTGAGGAAATGCAAATTGCTTCACCAGCTGTTTGGCCTCTTATAATCTTCCCATCTTTGGAAACAAGAACTGGGAGACACACACTCTTGGTTTAAGCAATGTGTCTTATGAAAAATTGAATAAGAAATAATTACTCATGCTACAGCTATTTAAGTGTTTTGGCAAAAAGCAGGATGGCTGATGGTGAAGGTTTTTCTCCATTTTTTGCCGAGTACATCATTTGCAACCATCTTTGCTAGAGGCACCTGCAAATAGATACAAGATCAAGCAGATTTTAGGAAACAAACTGGCACACAGCACAGCTGTAACCCAAGCAACACCTTCGATTGGTTTTATTGCAATAAGGTGTCTGTTTGGGAACAGCTGTCTCCAGACCCATCACTCGTTATTTGTACCGGGTGCCACAAACAATCCTCGGTTGTGCTATGAAAACTACACAAAACCTGGTAAAGTTATCTACTGCAGTCACTCGCGTGTACCGAGAGGAAACCATCTCCTGCGAGTTGCAAACACCACCGTATGAGACCTCGCTGCGTGTGAGAGAAGATGCAAGAGCCCTGGAGTCCCCCGCAGGGCAGGCC